CATCAGAAAAAAATTAATAAGTGGCACTACCATCCAAATAGACATTTTTCTAAGGAAGATATACAAATAAGCCAATAAACACCTGAAAAGACACTCAACATCATTGGAAATACACATCAAATCACAGTAAGATAGCACTTCACACCCACTAGGAAGCTAGAATCAGAAAGTTGGATAATAAATGTTGGTGAATATGTAGAGAAATCGGAACTCACACACTGCAGGTGGGAATGTGAAATGGTGCAGCCACTTTGGAAAACAGTCTGATGGTTCCTCAAAATTTAAAAACAGAATCACTGTATGACCCATCAATTCCACTCCTAAGTTTATAGCCAAGGGAACTGAAAACACACATCTATACAAAAACTTGTACACTACTGTTTATGGCAGCATTATTCATAATAGTCAAAAGATGAGGGAAAAAGCAAATGTCTAGAAAATGGGTATTATTCAGCCATGCAAAGGAATAAAGTACTGATACATGTCACAAAATTGATGAACCTTGAAAACATTATGCTGAGTGAAAGAAGGCAGTCACAAAAGTCCACATATTATACAATTCCATTCATATGAAATGCCAAGAATAGGCAAGTCTATAGAGACAGAAAGAAGATGAGTGGTTGCCAGGGGCTGGGAGTTCTAGAAGTATGACAGCTAAAGGGTTTGGGGTTCCTTTTTAGAGGTGGTGAAAGTGATCTGAAATTGATTGTGGTGAATAACATATCTGTGAGTATACTAACATGTGCTGAATTGTGCACTTTAAATGGGTGAACTTTATGGTATGGGAATTATATCTCAACAAAGTTATCTTAAAAATGGTGCTGCCTGGGGCGTCTGGGTGGCTCAGTCGATTGGGCATCTGACCTCGGCACAGGTCATGATCTCACAATTTGTGAGTTCTAGCCCCATGTCGGGCTCCGTGCTGACAGCTGAGAGCCTGGAGCCTGCTTCGGATTCTGTGTCTCCTTCTCTCTCTGCCCCTCCCCCACTTGTGCTCTGTCTCTATCAAAAATAAATAAAATATTTTTTAAAAATTTATAAAAAATGGTGCTGCCATAATTGGTTATCTATCTGGAAGAAACAAAAGGGGTCCCTACCCCCCAAATATAAAGATTATGTTTAATAGGTGTTAGAGATTTTAAAATAAAAATGGAACAGTGAAAATATTAGAGATATTAGGAGAAAAATTAAATAGATTTGGATAATATGAATAAATTTGATGAATACCTGCGAGAGTAACGAAAGAAAACAACCACTTGATTTGAGGGGCACCTGGGAGGCTCAGTCCATTGAGTGTCTAACTCTTGATTTCAGTTCAGGTCATGATGCAAGGGTCGCGGGATTGACCCCTGCCTCAGGCTCTGCACTGAGCATGGAGACTACTTAAGAATCTCTCTTTCTCCTTCTGCCCCTCTCCCCTACCCTCAAAATAATTAAATTAAATTAAATTTAAAAAGGAAATACTTAATTTGAGTTTTAAAACTTCAATGGCAAGAGATAATACCAATGATTTACTGGAAAAATATCTGCAAAATATCTCACAGGAAAAGGGAAAATATGCTGTATATACAAGGAGTTTCTCTAAATTGAAAGAAAGAGACAAATGCCCAAGAGAAAAACAGAAAAACGGTATGAAGAGGCCATTCTGGGAGGAGGAAATCTAATTGGACAACAAAGTGCTTTCCCTCATTATTATGAGGGAAAACACAAATTAAAGCAAAATCAGAGACTCTTAAAAACTGAGAACAAACTGAGGGTTGATGGGGGGTGGGAGGAAGGGGGGAGTCAGTGATGGGCATTGAAGAGGGCATCTTTTGGGATGAGCACTGGGTGTTGTATGGAAACTAATTTGACAATAAATTTCATGTAATAAATAAAATAAAATAAAATAAAGCAAAATCAGTTTTCATTACCTTAATTCATCAGGTTGCCAAAATTTGTTTAGAGTAAAATGTTCGGGTCTGCTAAAAATTTGAGAAAACGGGTAATCTCATTTGTTGCTGAGCAAGGAATCTGGCACTATTACAATTTGGAGCAAGCAACCTGGCACTATCTATTAAAATTAAAAACGCATGTGCCTTTTAACCCAGAAATCCTCTCCATCTGGGAATGTATCTTATGGGGGGAGGAGGGAGAAATCATCTGTATATAAGGATAACCCCGTAATTTCTCATTGTTTGCGATGGCAGAAAACAAAACTATCTGAATATCAATATCAATCAATGGTCGACTAAATAGTCTTACAGCTTCATATAGAATATCATGCAACTGTTAAAACATGAGTTGGAGCTAAAGCTACTGACTTGCAAAGGGTGTCTGTGATCACTGTTAAGTGAGAAAAGTAGGTTGCGGAGTAGCAAGTAATATCACCCATTTCAAAGAAAACCTCTTTCTGATGAGAACATAAGGAAAAGATGTTCAAGGCTGCCCTTGTTCAGGCTGTCAGTATGGTGACCTTAGCAGGTGAGTATGGAAGGTGGGAATTAAGGGCAAAGTATTACTTTTCTTTATTATACATTTTTAGAGTCTTTTCATTAATCTGTGATTTAAAAAAAAATTTGGAACTCAGAGTCACTTTTAGACACTCCCTCCAATCACATAGTCACCGCTACTGCCCTATCCAAGTGATCATTATCTTTTGCACACTGCTTCAAGAGCTTTTTGGCCTCCGTGCATCTACCCTGAGCCCCACTAATTCAGCCTTCATACTCCAGATGCAGCCAGGAGATATTTTAAAAATGCAAATCCGATTTTGTAAACCCACCCTCAAACATGTAATGGCTTCCCCTTGCTCTCTGCAGAAAGCCCCCATTTTCTGCCTGTCCCTTGGCTCTGCATGCACAGGCTTTCCTGAAGCTTCTCCCATTACTGACACCCACCACTTGCTCCCACACTGCAGCAGATTGCCTTTGACATTGCCTGAACCAACACCTGCCTCAGGGCCTGCAGACGCACTGTTTCTTCTTCATGGAATGTTCTTCTTCTCCTCTTCATTTGGACCTCCTCTTGCTCACCTCTTGGGTCCGGGATTTAATGTCACTTCCTTTCTCAGGGTGGCCTCTCCCCTCAAGACTAGGTTAGACCTCCCTGTTACAGCCTGGCATGGCCCTCTGTGCTTTTCCTCCATAGCTCTTATCACAATGATCTAGTTAATTACATAGTCATTTGTATAATTATTTGTATGACAGGGATAAAAGGAAAACTATTAAGCTATAAGTGTTTGCATCTTCTCCTCCAACCCCCTGGGAGAGAAACAGGTCAGACAAGAAGGCTCTCAGGGTCTAACTCAACTCTGAGATTCTGAACTTGCTCTTGCCCTCCTCAACCCATCATCCTACCTCCAACTGGGAGAATTTGTCTGGCTCAAATATCTCCCTATACTCTCTCATTTATCTAGTCAGCTAGCTTGTCTCAAGAATTGGCTGTGACAAAGCCCTTGGAGGTGCTGGTGAGCTTTCAGGCTTCCCCAGCCAGCTAGAGTGAGGCACAGCTAGAGTATGGGACTCTCCGAATCTCCAAATGGCTTTACTTCTGCACATCCTACCCTTCAGAGACCGTCACGAAATGAACTCCCGGAGCCCACAGGTTCCTCTGAGGGTACAAACACTCCAGCAACCACAGTCTGACCTGTGGCTTCAGAATCTCAATCTGAGTCCTCATTCTGCACAATTAGGGGTCATCTGTACCCTTTCCCTTCCTACTGATCACCTGCCCACTGAGGAATGGACACCTGGAGCAATCCTGGGCTGGGTCTCAGCGGCCAGGTGTTTCCACCCGCTTCTGAGGCTGATGCTGGTTCATGAGCTTCATGGAGTCTGACCGATGGGCCTGTGGGGCTGAGCACCGTGACTCACTCCCAGATAGCAGACTGTTTCCCAACAAACTTACCAGAGTGAACACACCCACATGCAGGTGGTCCCCTTGGAGCTACAACCACATGTCCCAACAGCACACACATCTCAGAAGCAGTCCTGGATGCTACAAGCTGGGGCTGAGGTATGTGGTGCTGACGGGGGAGCCCTCCTGGTCTGCTTCCCCCCAGTCTCTAGTAGGGCCCTCCTGTCCTACCTCTGCCTCTAGATCCAAGAGGCCTGAGGAGTTCCTCCTCACCCCGTGCCCAACCTGTCTGAGAGGGCCTGCCAACTCCCAAATGATACGAAGTTGGAGAAAAAAGTCCCCCTGAAACACATAATCCTCCACGGCTACTGCTACCTGAGGCCTGACTGGGCTTCTCCAAGCCAGGCTTTGAGCCCCAGCACTCAGGCCACTCTTTGTAGGGAGCCATAAAAATATTTGAGTCGTGGGGCGCCTGGGTGGCGCAGTCGGTTAAGCATCCGACTTCAGCCAGGTCACGATCTCGCGGTCCGGGAGTTCGAGCCCCGTGTCAGGCTCTGGGCTGATGGCTCAGAGCCTGGAGCCTGTTTCTGATTCTGTGTCTCCCTCTCTCTCTGCCCCTCCCCCGTTCATGCTCTGTCTCTCTCTGTCCCAAAAATAAATAAACGTTGAAAAAAAAAATTTAATTAAAAAAAATATTTGAGTCGTGCCAGGGCTGGAGGTCACAGCAAGCCGTCACTCAGGGCCTTTACTCAAAGGGTTGCTCAAACCCGGCAAAATGAGTCACGCAAAGCCTGGGGGTGTATTGGCTAGGGACAGGCTGCCAGTTCAAACCCTCAGAGCCTACAGTGAAGCCCTGGGGCCTCTCAGACTTGGTGGTGACTGCTCAGGTCTGGATCTTGATTTTAGTTCTGACTTCATTTCTCGCAGATCACAAGCAACTTTTCCTTCTGGAGTGTGGCAGACCACTGGTGGTGTCCCGTTTTCTGCTCTCCCCTCTGTATGGGTCACATGGCTGCCTAAGTGGAAACTATCTTTCCCAGCTTCCCTTGCAAGCGGGTGTAGACAAGCTACTATTCTCATCTGTAGGCAGGAGAGATAGAAGCTACTTTTGCCTCTTTTGCTTAAAAGGAAATTTTCTGTTTTCCGGTCTTCCTACAAGCTAGAGTGTGGACATTCTGACACTCGGATTTGACTATGCCAAAAAGAACAAAACGCTAAGGAATGCAGGAAAACGAGATGGAAAGAAGCTGGTTCCCTGAGTGACATTGTGGGACATCCCTGACAATCTGGACTCTTTATTACCCGTTAACGAGAGAGAAAAATAAAGTTCTATTTTGTTTAA